TCAATGTATTCTATACTTAATGTTATGCCTTCATTTAATTTTTTAAAGTTTGCTTTTTCCACTCAAATTAAATCCTTTTTCTTTTCGGTTTTCGAACACAAAGGAAATTTTGTGTTATCAAATAATCAAAAACATATCGTTCCGTGCAACATCTTTTATTTCTCCTTCACCAACCTCGACCGCTCACTTCCGTAGTTAACGCTTGACTACTCAACGCTCAGCAAACGAGAAAAAACCACCCCCGAATTTCGTCGCATAATTTTTCTCTCTCTCTTCTCTTTTGCATACCTCACGGCTAGCCGTTATTATGCAGATAAACAGCAAAATCATGCGGTGTCACATAACGGCATGCCGTTATAATGACACTCGTGGTAAAAGCGGACTGACAGACACCCTCCCTGAACTTTGCCCGCGGACGTTACAACTTTTTTTTTCTATTCTTACCAGATTATAAATTTTTATTTTCTCTAGATAGCGGTAGATTGTAAATTTTTATTTTTTCTCGATAGTCTTCTAGCTGTTGCTTGGTTTCTTCTCTGTTTTTATCTAGAAAAAATAAAAATTTTTTTGATAAATTTATATTGAAATAATTAAATCTTATCTTTGTCTAATCGGCGAAGACGCCCCTGGTAGGCGCGGCCATGTCCGTCGTGGAGGGTAGGGCAAAAGCCCGCCCGAAGGGCTTTCAACTAGGCGGGGCCGAAGCCCGCACGAAGGTCGGATAATCATTAATAAATTTTATTATTGTTAAATGAATGTTTACCTTAAATAAAATCTATGAAATCAAGAAAACAATCCGTTACATAAAGGGCAAACTATGCTTCAAGTTTTTTATATCCGACATCACTTGTGGTGTTCCATAAATGTGAAATCAAAAAAAGTCACCTACAGTTAAGAAGTTTTCATTTTAATCAAATCTCGGGCTTCTTCAAAAAGAATATTTTTAATTTATTGTATAATTATTTTAATACATTACGCTGAAAGAGACAGGCACTTCGCTTTTTAAATCAAAAACGGCATTTCTTTTAGTCTAATAATATAATTAATTAGTCTCGGTTTGTAATGAATTAAAGAGTGTAAAATTAATTCTCTTTATTGTCATTGTTATTTCTTTGAATTAGTAGGAGTACATCTTAAGCCCGATAGCCGCCAGTTCTTTTGTCGTTTTACCATTAATACTGGAGATAGATTAATTGGAGGTTCTTCCCCTTACACGCTTAAACCATACGTTCTTTGGGCGTTAATTTATTTATTGAATTAGTTCTTACGTTACAGCAGGTACTATCAGAGAGTGTGGCGATACTAATCGGACTATTATTTTTTAAAGAATTGCTCCTGTTTGCCCAAGCAGTTGTATCGGGATCTTTTTCGATTTCCTGAAGGGGCAATTTCCTATTTTGGAGTATACAGTCCTTATGGCTGATTGCTTGGTGTTTGTCACGGTACTAGCCCCTTTGTTGCCGGTAGAGCATATTTTTTTTTTATTGAAAGGGGTTTGGCTCCCTGAGCCTCCTGACAAAGAATACTAAAAAAAGGAATAGTCCCGTCGGTTGTCTACCGTCCGTCTGTCCACAGTAAGTCAGTCAGTAACCGTCTGGAGTCCTCCCTACCGTGCCATCATATGCACACCTCTTCGTCTCAGCCACAGCGGTGGCAGCTGTAGCGCTTAGCTACTCATCGGGGACACAAAAAAAGGGAGTGAACAAACTAAAATAACTTACAGTATAGTCCAATCGGCGCCGGTGTAGTGTCTGCCTCTTTACTCGGTTAAGTCGTCGAATGCTGGACCCCGGGTTGTGGCCATAACTTTATGTATTTCTCGCTTTTTTCCTTTTCTCCCCTCCTTCTACTAAACTTCTTCACTTAGATAAAAACTTCAACTTCAATTGTTGTGTGTGTGGGTGCACGGGTGTATACGTAGTTTACAAGTTAACAAAGCTGGAAAATTAGCCCCTTTTTTTTCTTTTTAATTCATCTGGATTGAAGTGAACACATTGGTTTGCTTTTCTTTTTTTTTGGTTCCTTTTTTTTTCTCTTTATTTCTATTTTTTTTTGTTTCACTTATCAAGTAGTAATGTTAACCAAAAACTTCAAGTTTACAATAATAAGGCTTAGGAGGCTTATGCACTAATTATGTTTAGGAGATTTTACACTAACAATGCTTAAGAAATGCGGCAATCATAATGCTTATGAGATTTATGCACTAACCATGTTCAGGAAATTTTTGCACGACGTTTGCTTTCAGCCACCCTTTTATATGGAAAGGTATTTTTTCTTTTGCTTTAAAACCGTTTCATTGACGCTTTGGAGTTTTTTGAGGTTTTTTTGTACGCAGTGAAATCTCCTTTTTTTTTTCTCTTCATCAATCTTTTGCAGCTAATTGATGCGAAATTTTTATCAACTTTGCTTTTTGGCACTTAATGTTTGCCGTTGAACTTTTATTTTGGTAAGATTTTCTTATGGAAATCAACAATTTAAAATTAAGAAAATTAATAAAAAAATTACACGACTATTTGTTTATAAATGCCCTCTTTTTTTTCAACAATTTTCTACATTATTCACTTGG